CAAGAGTGTCTAGCTCGAAAGCCGAATTGTTCCGCCGGCAGAAGGCCGTTGGAAAACACGTGCTCTTTGAGCCTGTTTAACAAAAGCCGCTCGTAGAGCTTCCCCAGGCAACTGAGGAGGCTGATGGGACGATAGCTAGAGGGCTGGTTGGCTGGTTTATTCGGCTTGCGAATGCCGATAACCGTGGCTTGCTTCCAGTCGTCCGGAAAGGAGCAACTGGAGAGAAGGGTATTGAAAATAGTCGCCAGTAAACAGATAAGCGGCCCATTGAGAGCTTTGAGAATCTTATTACTTATGTTATCTGGGCCCGGGGCGGATTTTGGTTTTAAATTTTTAATAATATCTTGGACCTCTTCGGGGGTCACTGAATTTAGAGGTTCGCCTTCCGGTGGAAGCGCAGCCCTAGTCTCGATTACGCGGTCCACCTCCGTTAGGTGGACTGAATCGGTGTGTTCGCGCGATGGCGTACATTGCTGCTCTAGGTTGTCCGCAAGGCATTCGGCTTTTTCGGAGTCATCTAGGGCTACTGAAGCGCTATTAGATCTAACTAACGGCGGTAGAGATTCGCGGGGGTCTGCTTTCAGACTGCGGGCCAACCGCCAGTAGGCGGTGTGCGATGGCTCGATGTCCTCTAGGAGAGTGTCCCACGTTGTGTGTCGGTGTTCCGATACACGATCTTTGACTTCTAGCTGAAGGCGTCGAAGTAGAGTTCGGTTCGATTCCGATCGGTATCGGTCGAAGGCGCGTTTAGCTGCATTTTTTTTCTAATTAGCAGTCGTAGGTCGGGCGGAAAGTTAAACCGTCGGTCGCCCGACAGTTTCACCGTCCGTTCCGAGTCTGTGACTGCGGAAGTAATAGTTTCACGGAGACTCGCTATCGCTCGATTTGCGTCATCGAACGTAGCTATCGTCTCGGGTAAGTCTACTAAGTCCTGGGGGTCCAAGGCCTTGAGTTTGACCTCAAGACGATGCCAGTCCACTACGGATTTGGTCGGAGGGACCGCGCCGGCGTTCTGGCCCAGTTTACACAGGACGGGCCTGTGGTCTGAGTCTAGTTCATTTTTGTCTCTATCGACTCGATGTCGAGCGAGACCTCCCTGAATAACATTATGTCTAGGACACTCGGTGACGCGTGCTGGTAGTTGTCCACCGTAGGATACCTAGTGGGAGTCGCGGGAGCGACTATACTGAAATTTAGGTTATCGGATAAGCTAAAGAGATGCTTTCCGTTGTTGTTTGGGATGCTGTTGATGTCCCATGAGCCGTGTTTGCAGTTTAGATCTCCTGCAATTATCACGGAAGGGCCTAAGTTAAGAAGCGTATCTAGGTCGCTTTGAAGGAGGGTTCTATTCCCCGAGAGGTAGGCTGAGACTAGTACAAGCGGCCTGTAGCCGGTGAGCGCTAACCTACACGCGGATGCCTCTATTTGACTTAGCCCTGGAATGTCGAGCGGGCAACAGTGCAAGGGCCGTTTATAATAAATTAGTGTGCCTCCCAGACGGTTTGCTAACCGATCGTGGCGGACAATATTGTAATTTGCGATTCTGGGATCGCGTACACTAGGTTTCAAGAATGTCTCTTGCACTAGGAAAATATCTACGTTATAGTCGCGAAGGAATTCCGCGATTTCATCCCTTTGACCCTTTATGCCGTTTGCGTTGAAATACGAAACAACCGGAGCCCGAAGTTTTGTTCTACCTGCGGTTGTACTTCCCATTAAGGTGTTTTTATGGGTCTAATTAACGATGCGGAGCGCGGTTTTATTGCGCGGACTATTGTTTTTGTTACGGTTGGCTCGTAAAAGCCCAAAGGGCTTCCACAAGCGTTTTGTGTTGGCTAATTGCCCTAAGATGCTCGTGGCGGCCGCTATTTTAGCCGACAATACGGCGAGTTCCTGCCTATTGATTCTATCTAATAAGCTGCAGATGTTAGCTATTTGCGCGAATGGGTCGTCCTTGTTTTCCGCGAAAACTGACGGAATTGGCTGCACCTGCGGCCGCGGCGCCGTTTGAGAGGCGGGCAGCTGTTGCGCGATTGGTCGTGAGGCGACCGGGATTACCGGCGTGGTTACCTGCGCAGCCACCTGGGGTTTCGCCCAGGCGTTTACGACGGGTACGGGCGCGGGAATGAATCTAACGGGCGCGGGTTTGGGCAACGTCGATTTCGCGGGAGATTTCCTCGCGGGAGTTTTCGGGGCCTTAGCGCAGCCTCTGTAGCTAGCCGGGTGGCCGGTGGCGGTACAGTTTACGCAGTCCGGTGGATCTGCGCAATCTTTCGGCGTCGTGCACTCGATTGTGCCGTGGTCAGCGGTGCATTTGACGCACCTTGGGTGAGCGAAGCAGTTATTGGCCGTGTGGCCAAAATGTTGACAGTTGTGGCACTGTGCCACAACACCTGATTTACGTGGGGGCTCGAAGACTAAGTCACTGAGCCCGCAGACCCTCTTAAGGTTGAAAATGGCCTTACCTTCCGGGGTAGGGTCAAGTTCCACCATGACCATGTCCATAGGGACACGGGTGCGAGGGTGCCTGAAACGACGCACGGCGTGAACCGGGAATCCCTGAGTGCGACCTTAGCCATATCGACATCCGACTCTTTTGTGACGCCCTTAATTACGACCCGAAGTTTACGCTCTTCGGGTAGTGAGTAGGTGTGGAAACCTACCTTAGCTTCGCGCAAGTACTTTGTTACGCGACGGAAGTCGTCCGAAGAATCGAGGTATACGCGGATACCCATATGCGTATTCTTGGACCGGGGGTCTCGGATGTTGTGGCGTTCAAACCACGAACAAACCTGGTGCCACTTTGCCTTATCTTGTATTATTATTGGCGGCGGTGGCTTGGTTTTTCGCTCGGAGGCGAATGTCGGTTCCGACTAGGCAGACGCGGCTGCCTTTTTGGCGGGGCGTCGCGGTGGGACGGTTTGACGGGGCGGCCTCGCTTTCGGGGTCGCTGTCGGTAGTAGCGGGGCGTTTCTTGCCCTTTTTTTTTTTTTTTCGCGATTTGACGACGGTGAAGCCGTCGGCGTTCGCGTTGTTAGCGGGGGTCGTTTCGACCTCCATGTCTGAGCCGCCGTCCGATTGTGAGTCAGGAACGACAGCGCGGAAGGGGGCCGAAATGGTTTGCGCGGAAGGCGCGTTGGGTTCGTTCGCGGCGGCGGAAGTCGACGCGACGGGCGTATCAATTGTCGCAGAGGGCGACTCGATGACTGGCGCAGAGGGCACCGGAGATGGCGGCGAGGCGGCAGCCGGTGAAGCCGGACTGTCGCTAGAAAATTCGACGACGATGCGTCGTTCCCTCGCGAAATTCAAATATTTTACCCATAATTCAGGGCATTCTTGACGCAGGAATTCCTCTATGAGGGAACCCATGTCGACGCTTGAGCCTTTGGGGCTTGCGCCCCGCCGGCGTGTGGTTTTCTAATTAGGCCTCCCCACCTTGCGGCAGGGAGGTGTGTGCCTAAAATTAACCTTTAGTCGCCTGCGCTTTAGGTGCGCTAGTGTGAGTACCTAGCGGTCGCCTAATGCAACAATGCCGCACACAGGTAAAAATTATAATGCCGCCTCTGAGACGAGAAATGTGTGTAGAATTCTACTTACGGACAGGAACCTGCCTACGAGCACAACACTACACTAACACTATCCGCTCGGAAGTCGGGCAAAGTTTCTTCTTTCTTCTATAATGTTTTTTCTTTCTTCTATAATGTTTCTTCTTTCTTCTTTGCTTGAGACTTCCCTAACCGTAGACCGCGAAACACGACAACGATGAGGCAAGCAGTGCACACCAAGAGATAAAAGAAATGATATTAGCAACAACGGTTGCAAGATGGCTTCCGGGTCGGTTGGCATGGACCCTCCGGCTCAGATTAACCTCCGTTCCGTGTGGAAGCACGAAGCGGAATGAATTGTAGATTATTATTAAAGCATCTTTTTAATACGTGATTAGAATGTCGTCGTTAGAATAATAATATGAAATAATAACATTCAATGTACATCAAACAGAAAACAGAATTTAAGTTTAAATTGTTGTGTTAGTCTCAGCACTTAAGCTGAATTTAGCACTTAAGATGAATTTTTTGAAAACATAACACGAAGTAAAATCTAGTAATACACTATAACGTCAAAAGCCTGTCCAACACATACATACTCTTTCTGAATCAGATTTTATGTACGTTAATCTAAAGTCGATGTATAGGTAGATCGATAAAAGTTAGTTGTGTAAGAAGCTACACATACGAGTACATTAACTAGTAATTACATAGCTTGAACATGCACAATAATGTTTTATTCTCTGCTCCGCCCATGACATCATTTGACAATATTGTAATATTTATTGCAAGAATTGTAAGTATTATACAACATTTGTAATATCAATAATTATATCGCTACTGCATTTGTGGCTAACGAATAGGCTTATTGACCATGGACTCAATGATAAAACCGAAGTTGAAGTAAGACATTATTTGTACCTTTGTATTTTGTCTTTTCAGTTCGGTAACCGGGGCCGGCTAGTTAATTTGCTTAAAAAAAATTGTGGGAATGGAACAGTTGCCATTATAAATCCATTTTTTCCAAAAGCTGTTAATAATTTTGTAATGTATGTATCATGTGATAGGAAAAGTAACAATCTTAAATATGTTGCAACACAAAACAATGGTCGTAAAGTCCTTATTTAAATCACTTTTTTATGTGATGATGGCGGTACATCTGATGTTAAGTGACAACCTGCACATTTTCAACACCCGTAAGGTTGTACGGGTTTTGAAATACAAATACAGATTTACAACCGTAAATGCCCACCTATTGTTAAATTGGGCAGAGTTACCTTACTCACCGGACGAAACGCAGAAGTATATCACTCGCACTTCACGCCGGTCTTCCGTGAGGCCGTGGTCCTGCCCACTCGTGACACAGCGAAGAGTGCAGCCAAAAACCGCATTACACGTGTTACATATCCAATAGCTACATACCGTTTCTCATCTTGCTTGTTGAAATGCTTTAAGGTGGAGTGGGAGGAGCCGGCGTCTTTTTGGCTGGGTCCGAGGGCGGCGGACCTGATACATTTAGGGGCTAAGTTTGCGCCTTGCATGAGACGCGACGCGAGGATAGCTCGCGCGATAGCCGCGTCCGCTAGGAGGGAGCGGGACACGGCGTGCTGCATACGAAACGACGACTCCGGGTGTGTGCAGTCGTCTAAGGCTGATTGTTCGGTGAGCTCTTGTTTTTTCCCTCCTCGAACCTGTAAATTATTCTGGCATCCGTCATTTCTAAATTGCGCGATGTCATCAGCCGTCTTAATAGCGCTATGCTTTTGACGAGTCAGCTTCATATTTAGAAGGTAGTGTAAGCGTTTGCCAGTTTGTGATAAAGAAAAGTGTGGACGTCTATGACTTTAATTGCATAACGTCATATTTTAAGAATTCATGTATAAAAAAGGCTGAAATATATTAATCCACACTTCTGTGATGGTCTTAATAAGTGTTATTTATACATAAGAGTTAATATACCAGACTGCAATATTTCATCGCTTCAAGATTAATGATTAGGTATACTTTTATTTAGTGATAAATATATATAATTAAAACCAGTCGCTGTAAAAAACAAAAATTTTGACCTATTAATATACATTGCTATTAAAGTTAAAGAAAAACGGATACCAGACGGCAAAAAATTATCATGAAACACGCATATATGTCAAATAATATGTATTCATATTTTTCATGCACCACGTAGATAAGAGGAGTAGTGGCAAAGGTAACTATAAAATATATACGACATAAATTACATTTACATATGTCATTTATAGATATCGAACTAGTAATTTTATGATATATATATATATATATATATATATACTTACTATTAATTATTTTATCTGTATATTATATTGCTTTGTGTATTTCAACGAAATCATTTCTGACCCATTTTAAGAACACGATATCAACGTGGAAAAAATGGTCTTCGGGTGAATCAGGACCAGGAGGCAGAATATCGGGGTCAGTTTGTGGTTTGGATCCGAAGTGAGTATTACTATTATTTCTCAAATACTATTATTTGCCCTGCCTTTTACATAATTTGAATGTGAACACAAACTGTTTCTATCGTGTAAAATATTGCTCCAATATAATTTACGCTACTCTTATTCTATATATCTGTCACAATGAAGTATATGACAAATCTATTATAAATTATCTGAGCTCTGATCATCTTGGTTTAAAATTTTCAATAAATGAAAACATTACTACAAGTGATATTAAGATCAGGTGTAGACCAGTCACTGCTAGGAGACTAAATTCTTTTAAATATAAAGTAGCACAGCATGTATTCCATAAAGATATCGGAGTCAATAACGCTAATGATTGTTATAGATCAATGGTTGATTTTCTCATAACTTCCTATAATCATATTTTTAAACCCCGCACAATTGTTAAAAAGTCAAAATTAAAATTTAGTGACTGGGCAACAGTGGGTATATATAAAAGTAGGGATTCACTGTATGAATTATATAATATGAGGCAGTGGAATCACGACCCTAATTTCCATAAACGGGTACAAAATTTTTCAAAAATATTTAAAAAAGTCTGTATACATGCAAAATCTATCTACATAAGAAATAGGATTTTAAATTCTAGTAATAAAATAAAAGCTACATGGGACATCATTACCTGTATATCTGGAAGACCCAAGATATTCAGGGAACCTATAAAGCTAGTGATAGGCAATACACCCATAACTTCAGATAACGAAATTGCAAGTAGTTTTGAAAGTTATTTTTCAGAAATTGCAATTAATGTTACATGCACGTTAAAATCCTTAAATTTAATCACATAGATACTAATGATATTATAAAAGTTTTGAATTCTATTAATCTTAAAAATACAGGAGATTTGTGGGTCATGTCCATAAAATTAATGAGTACAATAATGCCGTATATTGCACCATATTTGGCAAATATTTTTAACAAATGTATAGATTCTGGAATATTTCCAGATCTTATGAAATTCAGTAAGATAATCCCCGTTTTCAAAAGTGGGGATAAAAATGATCCAGGAAATTACAGACCTATCTCCATATTGCCATCTCTGAGTAAAATTTTTGAAAAACTAATTTTAAATCAACTCTTAGTACATTTTAATATGAACAAAATTTTCCACAATGAGCAATATAGATTCACTAAAGGCAGATCGACAACGGATGCGGGTGTCGCACTTGTCTAGCATATTTATAACGCCTGGGAAAGGTCACAAGATGCAATAGGTGTCTTTTGCGACCTTTCAAAGGCTTTCGACTGTGTAGACCACGAAACCCTCCTTCAAAAGTTAGATTATTATGGCATTCGTGACATCGCCCTCAATCTCATTGCCTCTTACCTTAGTAATAGAATTCAAAAAGTATCTATAAATGATGTAAATTCCGCAGGGTCCCCCATGAAAATGGGTGTCCCACAAGGATCAATCTTGGGTCCATTATTATTCTTAGTGTATATAAATGATCCCCTTTTATGCCAGTGAGATATGTGATGTTGTACTGTTTGCTGACGACACATCGCTCATTTTTAAGGTTGACCGAAACGTTTCGGATTATGACGACGTGAATAGTGCACTTTCGCGTATCCTCCACTGGTTTACCGTTAATAATATGGTGTTAAATGCTAAAAAAAAAAAACTAACTGCCTTCTTTTTACCCTTCCCAGCGTAAGAAGGCGAAGTTTTAGTTTAACATTAAATAGCGTAACCCTTAATCCTGTTGAGTCCGCTGTATTCTTGGGAATACAGTGGATTCAAAGCTCCAATGGAGTCCCCATCTATCATCGCTTGCGAACAGGTTAAGCTCCGCTGTTTTTGCAATTAGGAAGGTTAGGCAGCTATCAGACGTCGACACTGCCAGACTTGTTTATTTCAGTTATTTCCATAGCATCTTGTCTTACGGCATTTTGTTGTGGGGTAGTGCATCTGATATAAATTCTATATTTATTCTTCAAAAAATAGCTGTCCGAGCAATCTATAACATTGGAGCCCGGAATACACTCAGAGACCTTTTTAAAGAGATTAATATACTCACTGTTGCGTCTCAATATATTTATTGTAATATTTTGTATGTTAAACATAATATTAATAGTTATCTAAAGAATAGTGACAGACATAAACTAAATACTAGAAATAAGGACAAACTAACTACGCCATTGTTTCGTCTACAAAAAGTAAACAGGTCGTTCATGGGGCAAAGTGTGCGCATGTATAATAAAATCCCACAGTCGATATTAAGTCTGCCACTTCACGAATTTAAACGAAAAATTAAAAGTAAACTTATGGCTAAAGCCTATTTATTATTCTATTGCCGAATATCTTGACGACGCCAATGTGTGGGGTCAATACTGTTGATACTCACGTAGGCTAAAACAAGACTATTATACCTGTAAAATTATATTGTAAACCGATTTTTTTAAAAAGAGCAACTGTTGAGTTTCTTGCCGGTTTCTTATCAACAGAAACTGCTTTCCGAACCGGTGGTAACTTACGAACGTGTTAATTTCTTGTAAAATTTTGACGTTTCATAAGAACGCGCAAGCGTCTATGTGAATAAAGATATTTTATTATTATTATTATGGGGGATATTCATTTGTTTTCTCGTCTGGTTGGGTTTATAAATAAAAATAAAGATATAGATATATATTGCATATGTAAAATAAACATATATATATATATATATATATATATATATATATATATATATATATATATATATATATATATATATATATATATATATATATATAAATATTTTATATAATACATATATAAATAGGACTCAACCAGACAGAAGCCCTCGGCAGGGGAGACCAAACGGCCGAGGGTTAGGGCGAAAGGGAGAGAAACCAGCGGACGATGCGGGCGGTATCGAGGAGCACCGCCTTCTGCATTTGAGCCTGGAGCGATCCGTCCCGGAGTCCCAGTCGCCTCAGATGTTTAGAGAGGCTGACTGGGATCAACCCATTCGCAGACACGACTATCGGGATAATTTCGGTCGGCACACCACCCCACATGTCGGTCACCTCGTGAGCCAGGTCCAGATAATTCGTCTTCTTATCTGTTTCGGCTTTCACGAGGTTCTCGTCTTATGGAATGGTAATGTCGACCAAAAATACCCGCGACTGTGCCCGGTCCATCAACACGATATCAGGTTTGTTCGCGACAATCGTCCTGTCCGTAATGATGGACCGGTCCCAATAGAGCCTGGCGCGGTCATTTTCGAGCACGGCCTCCGGAGAGTACTTATAATACGGCAGTTTCCGTTCCACGAGACCGTATTTCAGAACGAGCTCCTGGTGTAGGATTCTGGCTACTAGGTTGTGTCTATGCAGATACTCAGAGTTAGAAAGCATGGAACAACCGGAGATAACATGCCGAAGCGACTCCCCGGGATGGCGACAAGCTCGACAGATGTCGACGGTGCCATCCTTTAGGATGTATCTCCGATAGTTGTTCGTCTTAATAACCTGATCCTGTATCGCACAGACAAAACCTTCGGTTTCCCCAAAGAGGTCACCGTAACGTAGCCAGTTAAGGGAGGCAACAGTATCTACGAAAGGCTCGTGTAGAGCCTTGTAGAACCTCCCGTGGAGCTCTTTCTCCTTCCATACGGCCTCTCGGTCGGAAACGCTCAGTACTCCCAGGTCCTGCCATTGCTCGTTGGCTAAGGATAGAGGGGTAAGTCCTTTATCACAACTAATGACGTCCGTGTAGATTGACTCATCCGATCTCGCCAGGAAGTAGTTGCGGAGGCTGCACACCTCGCGATTGTGCATGGTAAGGGCGCTCAAAAAGCCCCTCCCGCCATGCTTCCGCGGCAGGTACAGCCTCATCACTGACGATCTCGGATGATGCATTCTGTGGGACGTCATAGTTGTGCGGACTTTTCGGTCCAGGGCATTGAGCTCAGTTTGAGTCCACCTGAGTATGCCAAAGGTATACATGAGGACTGGCATGACCCAGCCGTTAAATGCGCGTTCCTTGTTCACGCCTGACAAATGGCTGTTAAACACCTTTGTCAGGCGTGCAAAAAACACTTCACGAACTGACTGTTTCATGCCAGCCTCATTGATACACATGTTTTGTGACATACCCAGGTATCGGTATGTTTCAGCCTCAGAGAGGGTCCTTATGTTAACGGGCATAGATAAGTCTATGCCCGCCGTATTAGTGACCTTACCTCTTTCGATTATATTATATCTAATTATATTTAATTATATTATTATTATTATTATTATTATAATTATTATATCTAATATATAAAAATGGATTGCTGTTCGTTAGTCTCGCTAAAACTCGAGAACGGCTTGACCGATTTGGCTAATTTTGGTTTTGAAATATTTGTGGCAGTCCAGGGAAGGTTTAAACGATGAGAAATTATGGAAAAATTGCATGGAAAATTAAAATAGCAACAAATTTATTTTCCCGTACAAGCTCTACCTGTCAACCTGTCAAACGATTTATGAACGCGTTCTGATTTCTCTAGAAGTAATTTATATGGCATAACAACGTTTGCCGAGTCAGCTAGTAAAATATATAATTGTAGCGTAATTTAAATGTCACACTTAAATTAAGAAATAATTTATTTTAGTATTCACATTTAAGACAATACGGGATAACTACTGCTTCCTCCTGAATAGCTTTATAAGGCGTAGTTCGCTTAGCCGTTGGATGTGTAAACTTTTCTTGTATTTACTTGCTTTCATCGCCGCTTTAAATCGAGGCCGCACATACACAACAAGTTCACCTAATTCAGTCACTGCGCTGCTCTTGCATTAAAAACTTCTCGGTTCCAGATTCTGCGAGGCGCCGCGATCCATTGCGCCACACGAGTGGCCGGACGACATCACCAAATGGCCGATTTGCCGGAAGTCCGTTGTGGACGGCACGACGGCGGTGGGGCGGGCGGGGCACGCCGCCGAGCACATGGCCTGCGAAGTGATCGCTCACCCCTGCTGCATAGGCGTCCACGGGCAGTGCGTCATCACCACCAGCGAGCACTGCGACTTCGTCAAAGGCTATTTTCACGAAGAGGCCTCGTTATGTTCTCAGGTACATTCATATTTTTGATTATCTATCTGCATTAAGTTTATCACAGACCGTAACAGCCTCGGCTTCTATGATTTAATGAGTTATAGACAAATCTGCTAGGTCAAGTACAGAGGGTGTTCAGTCCGACGATTTCTCCGATTGTTTATCTGAGCATATGCGTACTTGACTCCGGGCTCCACAGCTAAAATCACAGTGGGCAAATAATTTTTAATATGTTTGACAACAACATGTACTTGATGAATTTAATCTTCAAGAAATAGCCCTAGATGAAAGTGAAATAGGGATGCCCTGAAGCTGTGATCAAAAATAAGACAACTTTAATAAGGTTTATTATATATAGCAATACACTGACATATACACACCAGATACACTGGACCAATTATCATTGCCAGGAAACCCCTAAAGTTTTTCAGAAATGTATTGGCTTAAAGTAAATATATTGGTAACCATGGGCAAGACATACGAATAGACAAATACAACGTTCAGTCAAAAATCGAAGAATTCGGTCGATTTTCGATTGAACGTTGACGTCATAAGACTGAGCAGAACATTCGGCACAAGATTTTTTACTATCAACACAATAAAATATGATCACTCACAGTTGGACTTGTAACCAAATAGTCACTCAACGAACAATGGAGACAGCTTTGCTTGGAGGTTCTCTATTGGTTGTGATCCAAAATGAGGTAATTCGACAGACGACCAAGATTATTGACATAGATCTAAGAGCAAGTAAGCTGATGTGGTAGTGGGCTGGTTATATTGCTCGAAGAATTAATAACCAACGGAGTAGATGCGTTCTTGAGTGGAGACTGCATTTAGGCAAACATAGCGTGGGTCGCCTTCAGGCTAGGTGGATATTAGGAGCATAAAATCGAGTCAAATGGTGCTTACAAGAAAAGGCCTTCGTTCAGCAATTCGGAGCCAAGATGGTGATGATAATGATGAATAGAATTACTGCCATTTAATAAATGGTAGTTGGTATTCTAGGGAGATTTTTGTTATTCATATTGATTACATCTTGTTCACAAACACAAGTTCACGTAAACGTTTTGTGATATACACAAACACACGTTTAAATAAGATATAGAAACATCTGTGGTAGGGCCACGCACCAATCTTTTTTGTCGCACGAATGGGCAGGTCCGTCTGAGTAAGTATCTCGATCAGAAGAACCACCGGCATGAAGAAGAAACGTTATACTTGTGCGTTTTGTCTGGTGAGTGAGGTGACTGGGGCCCATTTTATTATAAGGTGGCAACGCTTTTGCAACCCTAAGGATGTTGCAAATTTCAATAGGTAGCAGTTATCACTCAATATCGCAAGCTCCTTTGCCACCTTCTTGGAAGTTTTTACCGCCGCCTAAGCACATGTACATAAACCAGAGGTGTTGCAAATGCATTACCGACCTATACAAAAGAAGGCCCCAGCTATCTGTGTGAAAGTATAGTAATTCCACTTCACATCGATGTTCTTAGAGGCCCGTCCGTTTATAGAACAATTGAAGTTGTGTAGCTTTACTGCAGTCAGAGTTGATAACATTTTGTTTTTACATTCCTACTTTAAATAGTGAATAGCGGGGAGCGTTAATAACGGGACTGGCACAATTATTTTACTTTGTACTTTGGCTTTTTCAGGTCTCGTGTCTTGACGATGTGTGTGGGATGCTACCATTTATGCGAAGACGTCGACCGGATCAGCTGTATCGTGCTTGGACCTCGTTGTTTGTGCACGCTGGTCTTCTACATCTGGCAGCTACGCTCGCTATACAGTGGCTCTTTATGAGAGATTTGGAAAAGATGGCTGGTCCGGTTAGAATTGCAGTTATATATCTAGGTAGTGGTGTGGCTGGAAATATGGCGTCAGCAATTTTTGAGCCCTATCGAGCTGAGGTATGAGCATTTCCAAAAATAAAAAAAATATCTTACAAGTAAAAACCGTTATCAAGTTTTATGTTCTTTCCTATTTCAGGTGGGTCCCGCTGGATCGCATTTTGGTCTCCTTGCCTGTTTAATCGTGGAAGTGATTGGTGCGTGGCCTCTGCTAAAGCATCCTCGTCGCTCGCTCATGAAGTTGATCGGGCTCGCACTGACGCTATTCCTCCTGGGCCTTCTGCCCTGGATTGACAATTTCGCTCACGTGTTTGGTTTTGTGTTCGGGTTCCTGCTAGCGTACGCGTTACTGCCCTTTATAACGTTCGGTCCTTACGATAGACGGCGAAAAATTGTTTTGGTGTGGGTGTGTATGGTGTCGGCGGCCGGAATGCTGTGCTCGCTGATCGCCCTATTTTACGCGGCGCCGGCGTATGAGTGCTCTGTGTGTGCGTACTTCACGTGCCTGCCGTTCGCGCCGGACATGTGCGCGTCGCAGGACGTCCGAGTGAGGCAGCTGGACGGCGTATGACGGCGCGCGGCCCGGGCGCCCCCGCCGCCGCCGCCCCCCTGCCCCGTGCCCCTAGCGCGCCCACCAGCCCGCCGCCACGTCGCACATATTTAACTTGTTCTACATCCAGTGCTACGCCGAAGTTCGATGAAGCCGTAATGAATAGCCTATATTGTCATTACATTCGTTTTGAATCGATACATCAGTTTGGAATTTGCTGATGTCGTTATTTAGTCTGGTGCTGAAGACTGTTAATGGTTCGATTATGTTCCATGTGAACGTGTCAAGCCTATGGTGTATATTTAATTGTATATGTTCGTGTTGCTTTTTGATAGATTGGTGAAAAATATCTTACGATATATACAGTATCAGAACTGAGGTATCGATATGTATTCGACTATACTTCAAGGGTCATTGACATTCAAAATCCTCTGCGAGCAAATAGTGACTTATGTAAATAATAGCACGGAATGTTATATGGTGTCGATATAAAGTCTTAATCCTCAAGTTCGACTTCATCTATTTTGACTTCATCCACTTTCTAACAAGTTTTGGTAGGAATGTAAAAACAACATTTGTGCCTCATCGGTGTCATCTTATTTATTATCACAGTATTACTGCCACCCTTCATCATAATGCTCAAACGCAGTCAAGAGACGGGTTGAAATTTTTTACTGCTTAAGCCATTGTTTAACGTTTTTTATAATTGTCTAGATAGACTTATATCACTTATATGTATGCCAATAAAGCAATTATTACTTTTAATGGACTCTAGTAACTTGTTATTGTATAATCGAGCTCTTTGTTATGTTATTTTACGATTTCACTATTTTTAGGATTATCGTTCTCAGCTATCAGTGTCTAGGGCAGATTTAGATTACAAGCATCTTAACTGAATGGTATGCGTCGGTTATGGCGTTAATATACCTTAAATTATTTATTGACTAGTGTGTAATGCAAGTTAAGGTGCTTTTAAAATAAATTTGGTGTGAACTAACCCTTATGAATGTGATACCTTATGACTCATTGGCAAGATACGAGTAGTACTTGCTTTATAAATGAAATTATGAAATGTAAATATTCTGTAAAAAGATACTTATGATTCTTAAATAAGCTGTATGTATGTGTCACTATGGTTTCACAACAATGTTTTTATTGGCGTGCCTTTACGGGAATTGCGGTATGTCAGATGCTATATCGGATAAGGTGGCAGCAAACTACCTTTTCTGTATAAATAATATGAAATTGTTTCTTTAAAGGTAATAAAAAATGTGATAGGAAATTGTCACATATGAATAGAGGTATTTTTGTATACACGCCTTACGTTTATTGTCTTCGCTGGTATTCTCTGTAGCAATCAATTCCCGTAAGGGCATAATATACATAATTTAGTATATTACTAAATAATGTAAATAGCGTGTATACATATAACGAATGTTTTTTATGAGTTTCATTCACTGAATATAACGAAAATAATGTTAAAAATCAAAGTCGATACGTTTTAATTTTGTCAATTTACATAGTTGTACGATGAAGTCTGTGTAGGTTTACAAGTTATTTTATATAATATGCTAGTAATATTTCTATCTATTTATAATTAGGGATATTTTGGTTAATTACATGTTAAAATTTACGAAATTCATTTTTATCTCAGTGGTAGAAAAAGTTTTAAGCATAAAAGTTACTTTACATGAAAGAACATTGCTAATTAATTTTTTCTGCCTTAACGCAGCATTTAATATGCAGAAGGAGAAGCATTTATTATATACTTTATATCATCACGTTCAAATTTTCTTGGACTAAATAATAAAATGCACTTAAAAATATGGAATATAATTTACAATAAGTTACCATTTAAGAAAGGAAAAACAATTTTTGTCTAATAGCCTTATTATCCATTTTCCTTTAAGTATTATTCAAGTAATTTCTTTTTCACCCAGCTCCAGAGCAGAAATTACGTTTGGAAATGATGTAATAAAAATGTTATTTTTTTTACAGCATGCGGAAAGAACAATTCTTGTTTTAGATAAAATTGGCTTAGTAACTAATCCGTAATGAATAAAAATTATTAACAAGCAATTAAATAACGTGGAAAAAACTTTCTTTTGTATTAGAAAATAAAATTATGCTAATGTGATTACAAAACATACTGAAAAAGAATGTAAAGAATGTAACAGAATCGGACGAATGAATTTTATATATATATATATATATATTTAGGTTTTCAGGCGTATTATTTAATTGCAATAAATTATAAAAAAATAGAAATTTAGTGTTCATAATTACTGATATACCAAGACTGATAAATCTGAAAAGGTACCCTTTCAATCAGATCAATGAAGAAAGGATACTGGTTTCTGGCAATAAGCTTTTATTGGATGATTTTCAATAATTTCCGTGAACTGATAAATCCAAATCAGCACACAGTTGGGTAATATGGATTGATATTATAGTTCGTGGTTAGGTTGACAAAAATTATTTAAATGCATGATTTCAAACAATCAATGAATTCGTATACACATTTAAAATGGCTATTAGAAGTCAAAGATCTCATCGAAAATTATAATTACCGCTTTCGTTGCCTTTTAATGTATGATTATTTATTCATATTGAAATATATTTTAGATGAATATTTAATTATCCACTTAGGCTTATCGTTATTTTGGAATTTCAAGTTATTTGGTAGATTAATTTTAAATTGTAAATATATTTTAAATTTGCAATAATAGTGCTAGTATTCGTTTATATATTGAAACGTTTATATACGTAGACATTATTTATAAGTAATTTATTTTTTGCACATCATTTCTTGTATTAAAGCAATTTAAGCTGCGCTTGAGATTGATGGTTCAATACAGCAGCATGCGTGTGGTCTGAATGATGTAATCGTATCTGATATGTAAGTTTCATAACCCGATAACAATTCTGATACGGTGGAAATATCTAAAACTTTTAATGCCTCTCAAAAGATCAATTAATGATCTTCTAAATCCTTTTAGATTGTTTTAAGAGTTGTGTTAACAATATTTTCAAGTGATACAAGGGCTTCAAGTTTGTTTAAGCACTATTTCTATTCAAGAGAGTAACATTGTGGCTGTATTATCTTATTGACATGTAACATGTTTTAGGGATGTTTTCTTAACGTGTGTTTGAGTGTGGTGTAATGTGTCAAGTATCAATTGTTGATTTAATTATTTCATGTATGTTCTCAGCAACGTTATCTCGAAGTGCCCTTGCGGCCGGCGCGGGCGGCCCGGCGAACTGCTCCCAAAATTTAACTATAAGAACAAAAAAACACATACATATTGTACATTGTGAACATACAACTAATTAATATTCTAATACATAAGGAAATGGTAAAGTAATCTTACTGTAAAATAGTATTAATCGAACAAGAAACTTATTATCATATTAGGTTTGTGTTTTATTTATAAATCCGATTTATTTTATAGAATAATCGTTTTATTAAATTTTACTATAATGTGAACGGGTTATGGCAATAAAACAGGCGCCCTCATCGGAGACCTTGTTTTCTCAAATTCATTGGCACTGGCGTTGCGGAAGCATTAGATTTAAATGAGATGTCATCTTCTGCGACCGGAGCAAAGGAAGTTCCACACTTCTTCTGTAATTTTAATTATAGAAATTGAATCGGAATATTATGACAAGGTGAAGAGTGGGCGCGATGGTTTAGACTCTTAGACTTTATAAAAAGCAATTTACGGGGGATAAGCAGAAAAAGCGGAGATTAAAATGAGACATTCTCTACCAGTAAACCTAATATACGATGCAGTGATAAAAGAAATATGTAATAATTTTTATTACATATTTCTAAAGAAAAGGAAGAAAAATAGCAAAACAACAATAACAAATATTTTATAATGCACAAGAATAAACACGAATATCACAGTACTACATAAATATGTATAAATATATTATAATGCTAATTATGATGTTATACTAATATTATACTAATAGTGGTAAAGTAATGATGAGATCGATCTGCCAAGCTATCCAGAAATACCTTCCGTTTGATAGATCTTAAAACCATAACGATCGGTAGACCTCTTAATTTGGAAAGTAGAAAAATAGATTGGTCGGAAATGGATGGACAATATCACAGTTGTCCCCTACTGGATATTGTTATTTACTGTTAAAGGTTCTGTTACAGTTAGAACTCAGAACCTGAAAGTATTTATATATTATAATTATTTATAAAGTATTTTTATATAGATCCAAAAGGTTGCCGAGTAGAAGACAAATAATAAAATGTAAGACTAAAAATTATTTTTGTTCCCGTATATAAAGTAAAGTAACAGCCTATACGTGTCCCACTGCCGGGCAAAGGCCTCCTCCATAAAGAAGTTTTCGTATATATTTTTCCGTAAATCTGAAACATATATCAGACTTCTCAATTATTTTATTTATTGTAAAAATACGTTCTTCTTATTTTTAGAATACGATTACAATAATGACTTGACACTTTCTTGGATTGGACCAAATCAAATATTTTCATACCAAAACTTAATATTTTCTAGGTCTCTATTGTCGTACTCACCACTGCGAACAAATGACGCTAGTATGTGTGTAGAGCTGCAAATCAACGGAATATAGGTGATACATGAGTATGTATCACCTATATTCCGTTGATATAAAATATGAATTTTCAGTAACGACATCAAAACAAAAAAAAAATAACTAAGAAAATAAAATACTGCTTTGAGGAACACTAGCAAGTATGCTACACTAAAGAAGATATTAATGGATAAACTACGAAAATAATAAAACGAAAACGAATCCAGAACCAGTGAACCAAGCCTTGGTTGTGATCATAATAATGAGAGGATTGCGTGTTCGAGAAATGAACAAAACCAACATTTACGATTCCAGCCGCTCTTGATGGTAATATAATATTGTACAAATGATTACTTATAAATGGGATGTGTCTTATATTGAAGAACAACTATAAAATTCAGTCTTCTTTGCTATCTTTAATTTAAACAAATTTTCAATACAAG